TTTTGTTATTTCGACCTCATTACATTACCTTATTGGATTTATTAATATTTTGAAATTATTCCTAGGGAGATTAATATTTGATAAAATATTAAGACACTATTAGTTGGGGTGTTGTGTTCCGCCATAAATTTTATTGGTTTCTAAATATTTATCTATTTACCAGTTGAAGGATCATTTGATTGACCATTTACCATGTGTTATTTAAACGCTAATTTTGGTATATTTTTAAAAACGGCAAGATTACGATTTAAGCCAAAATAATATTATTTAAGCCTCGAGATTTGGCAAATAGATGTCAATTTCTACCATCTATGAGCAAAATCTCCCATGCTTTACATAATATTATTTTTAGCTAAAATCTTAATCGGGCCCTTTTTAAAAAAAATCGACCTAAATGGGGCTTTATAACATGACTAATTTTAACCTCCATTCTCATATTTTAGATTTCATTTGAAAAATTATTTATAAATATTTGGGTCAGGTTTTTCAAATTTAAAATCCTTTGCACATATTTTGTCTACTCATATATGTAGCGTTGTTAAACGGCTCTTGAAAATGGCTAACCCAATATTTTCGGCCAAAAATATTCCACAGGCCTCGAGATCTCATAGATGTTCAAACTTTTCTATCTTTTATGAGGCAAATCTCCAGGCTTACCAAATATTTTTGGCTAAAATATTGGGGCCCTTATAAAAAATCAAGTTGTTTAACAACACTACGTAAATACAAATGGGTTTTTTTTTCATTTCTACAACGTTATTCAGATATTTTTCACAGTTATTATAGCCTACGATATTTTGTGATCTGAATCTACCAGTAAAATAAAAATTAAATTAATACAAAATAATAAATTTAAAAATTAACAAACTCTTCAGAATATTTCTTCCCATATGTTGTTTAATTAAGAAAAATCTCCATATTCCCTTTTTTAAAAATAAAAAATTCGTAATTAATTTTATTTCAAAAAAATATATATAATACGAGAGGAAATTAATTTTAAACCTTTTTTTCCTCCCCGCTATAAAAAAATAAGATTCTTTACTACTTTTAAATTATTCTTATAATTAATTTATCTTTTCTCTCTTCCTTTATTGTTATTTTTCTTTCTTTCTATTTTTCCCATTCTTTATTTTTTTTTTTGAAAGTTTCTCTTTTTTAACTATAACAAATAGATTACATGTTACAGTCAAATCGCGTTAATATCTTATTTTTCCGTGTTCGGTTCGGTTTATAGGTGGGCTCAATTCGGTTCATGAAAATATTTTTGAATCCGGGTTTGGGTCAGGGTTTAAGAATTTTTGAATTGATAAAAAAAATTCTATGATTAAATTATAATTAAAAAACTAGACATATAAAAAATAAATTTTTTTATTTTATTTATAGGCAAAATATAGTTAAAAATACAAAAATTTAAAAAAAACTGCCCTAAATCCTTGTTTAACAATTTTAAGTTAAATTTTGAGAATTCCTTAAATTAACAATATCCAATATAATAATTTTTACTTTGAGTTGTTCACCTTCATTTTCCTCTATTTGATAATTTTTGGGAAAAAGTTAAAAATTAAAAATAAATGGCGTAAATGAATTTAATTGTTTAAAATTTATTAACACTCCAATAGAAATCTTTAAGAATAAATTTTAAAAATGGCGTAAATGAATTAAGTTGTTTAAAATATATTAATACTTCACTTTATCGGAAATTTGAAAATATTATAAAATCTTAATTAAATTATTAATATTTGTATTTACAATACCGGTTTTACTTTATCCACTTTTGCAAGCCCCGAAACATTTGAAAATGCAGTGTTGTGATTGTTTTTCATCAAAACGAACGCCTTTTAAAATCACTCCTTATTTTTTCGAGTTCCTCACTTTCCCTAAATTTTTTTCTTTCTCTCTCATTGAGTCCCGTTTTTGGTCCGAATCCTTTGATACAATAAATAATTTCTAGCACAGCATGAGGCTCAGACTCGTCTCTCATTTAATTTGTCAATTTGAATAGAGAAAATATCTCACTCAAGTAAAACACGCCTCATTTATAGCTCCACTAAAATAGTTATCGCATCACGCTCCTTAAATTACAAAATAAATAGTAGTAAATGATACAAAGGCGGCGCTCGCTTACTAATTAATTGGAGTCCTTAGTTTGGGATATTGTCTTCATGGGTTCTCATCCACGGTCTTAATATTTTTTCTTCTTCTTTTAATGGTATAATTTATTTAAATGTCTAGAAAAATATAATCATTATAATTTACAAAGGGGACGGGCCAATATTTTATTGGGGGCTTTGTTCGGTCGTTTAATTTTATAGAATAAATATTATAACTGTATTTCTAAATTTTTTCTTATAAATATAAAAATGATTTTCAATCGAAAACCATTTGTTTTGCGGTAAAGGAAATAAAGAATGGAATTATGCCTCTGTTAATAATTTTTTCTTTTTATTAATCGCATAAATTACATAAATGATGGCTTAGATTTATTATGTAAAACTCAAAAAAATAGCGATATTGTGTAAGCTATTAATAATTTTGTGATTTAATATTATTGATTGGATTTATTCTTTTTTATTGGCTTTGCTAATTTTTTCTTGTACTACTTAAAATTCTTGTTTTATTTTAATTTTTGAAAATTACATAAAATTATAGCATAATCATAATAACGATAATTTTTTTTATATCCTAATTACACCTCAAAAAATAAAAATTATGGTAATTAGTTTGCAGAAAGCTTATAATAATTTCCGTATTATTCCGCCAAGATATTTTCAAATAAGAATGAATATTAAAATCAAATCATCATCATTATTCTATAAAAAAAAATTTATTAAGTTATTTTTTGCTTACCTCAATTAACTTTTGAGGATATATTTTCATTTTTCTCTCTATTCTCATTCATTTAAATCCCATTTTTTGATTGATCATGATTATGTTTGGAGCATAATTTTAATTTCTTATATTTAAAATTGCACTATGAAAATCGTTTTTTTCCTCTATATAACAATAACAATTCCCTTTTTCTTACCATTAATTTTTGAAAGAAAATAAGTATTATTTAAGATAGGCCTATTCATAAACGAATCGGATAGTAACGAGTAGTTCGAATACGAATAAACGATAATTCGATTCGAATAAAACGAATAATTTTGGAATTTAATATAAAATATGATCGTTTTTCATTTCTATTGATAACCAGTCAATATGACAGGTGATGCGATTAACAAGGTACATCACCTGCTTGTGAAAAGCTTTTCTCGGTTAAACTTATTTGTTGGCAAAAAAATTGCATGTCTTATACATAAAGAAGAAAAAAAATTTTAAAAAAAACTATTTACCTTAAAAATTGGCTTGGCATTATAAAATTATTAATATGCATTTTAATTTCCTTTAATATTATCAGATTATTTAGAATAATTTTATCTGTTTAAATATTAGACGTGGCCAATAGAGAAAAGGTGATATAATTTTCCTATAAATTGCTTTATATTTTAAAAACCGAAATACAAATCCACGAAAACGGATAGTAAATTGTTCGACTATTCGATTCGTATTCGTTTTTGAATAGGCCTAACCCTTCATTCAGTTGGCGCGAATTCGCGGCGAAGTTTGCAAAAATAGACAAAATAAGTACATATTTTTGTATTCTTCCCTCCGAACTTGTGCCAACTATGATATGAATGAGAGGGGTAAGATGTAGGGATGGTAATTAATATTTTCATTTTTTATATATAAGAAATTATTGTCCCCGCTTTAAAACGTTCATTTATTTTAATTTCATTTTTTTTTCTTCCCAAATGCACCTGAGTTCATTTATTTTAAAAGAAGGGGGGGGGGGGTGAGTAGAAGGTGCAAAAATCGTTAACCTTATAATTATTAATTATACCCCGGTAATAGTTTAATATTTATTATATAAATAATATTTTATTATTATTACTACTAATAAAAAAAAAGTAACAAATTTGGTACCTTTCATATTATTACTTAGTTTTAATTTTGGATGTTATGTTTTAGTGGGGCTCAATAAAGAAAGAAAGAAAAAAAATCAATAAATTTTAAGTTTTTTTGCCCCTTATTTTTAGGCTTTGTTAAGCGTTAAATTTTAAGTAATCTCTTTACTTTATTTTATTTTTAGAAGTGAATTCGGAATTAAAACCAACTATTAGTGTTGTTTAAAAGCCCTAATCGGCTCTATTCTTAAAAATGGCCCAATTAAGATTGTAACAGAATGATTTGGACATATAATTGCCAAATCTCGATGCTTACATAAAATTATTTTGGCTAGAATCCTAATCTGGTTTTTATTAAGCGATCCAAATTGGGCTTTTTAACAATAGTACTAATTATATACGAATTGACTGATTAATATCTTGGATATATTGTCAGCATATAAATTAAAAATGACTCAACATTTCACAACTTATCGAGTTTGTTTTTTTATCTCTCGATTTGACACATATGTTAATCATTTTATTTAGACCATAGCGGAAAGCATAATACGTTACGGACATGTAAAATAAAAAGGTTTCATATTAGGAAGCCTATTTATTTTTTTTTGTGATCGGGTCGGGCTTTAAATCTCGGAATAAAATTGATATATTTTAACATTTTTGTGGGAAACAAGGCGCCATTATTTTTTTATGTGTTTGTAGAATGATCATAAACTATTTATTTTTTTTGTAAAAATATAAAAACTATATTGATTTTTTTTAAAAATTAATTTCTTCTGTATTTGATATAAATTCGGGTCAGATCGGACGGATAAATGTTTATTTATTTCGGCTCGGGCGTTTTGGGACAAATGAAAAAAAATTCGTGATCGGGCCGGACTTGAAAAAAATTCTGGCCGGGCTTGAAAAATAAGACTTAACTAATTTAATGTGGTTGATCCTGGCGAATAGAAATAGCCACTTTACATCATTTTACCCGACCCCCTATTTTTTTCAAAATTATTTACATTTTACTCTATTTTTACAATTATTTTAATAATGTATCATTGATAGGTGGACTCCAAAGGAACAGGTTACATAAGCCTTAAGGACCTGGGCGATGCATTTAACGCGGTGGGAATCAAAATCCCGCCGTATGAAGTTAGGAAAATGGCGTCAGATTGGGAGCGAAAGAATAGCAAGATCCCGGATGGAAAACTTCAGTTTAGCGAATTCGAAAAGGTAATGTTTCGTTTATTTAGAGAAACCGAATTGCTATTTTTTTAAAAAAAATATAGTGATAGAAAATAATTTTATAAAAATTTCCCCCATACAACAATTATTAATTAGACACCCAAAAGGGTAACTATCTTGTTAGATTTTGTTTCAAAAAAGAGATATAGTAAATTAGTAGATTAAAGTGATATAGTATTATGTTTATAGCTTTAAGAATGAACCCTAGGTGAAAAAAAATATAACACCAGTGCCTACTGCCTAGGTTGGGTTATTGCTAGTCACTACGTTTAAACAGCTAGGATGTGACCCAGCTGTTCTTAATCCGTAATAGTTTATATTGCGAAAAAATGGTGAGGAAACTCTTTTTTCGTTGATTTTTAGAGGTCAGGAACGTATATATGAGGACGCGAGAGCTTAGTTGAGGTATTGCTATCCAGCATTTTTAAATTGTTGGTATCTAACTGTTCTTAATTTTGTCCTTAATTCCGAATAGAATTCTTAATAATATTCTATCGAGAAAAAAATGGTCACGACCACTCATATTTGGTTTATTTTGGGGGTTGAATAACTTGTATATATATGGGTACAATACTTTTAATACTCAATCATATATTAAGACGTAATTCTTTGGATAAATATACATTCAAAGCTATTATATAAAACTTTGCAAAAACATAGTTCGCCATAAATTAAGAAAACCAGATAAAATAATGTACCATTTTTTTAATACCATTACTTAAAATTGGGTGCAGTAAGAAATAAAATGTTAACTTAAACATGGACATAAACTACGGACCAATAAAAATATACCTTTTATATTAAAATACAATTTTAGGTGTGAATTAGTAAGTTGGTAACCGTTTTGAAAAGTTAATTCATTCACACTTTTAGTTAGTTTTTAGTTAATTCGTCATTTTAAAGCAATTTGCTTGTTTGGAACGATCACGAAATTGAATTTTTACATTATGATTATTTTTATAACCTATATTTTTTTAAAAAATGACTTTAAAATGTCATGTTATTTTAAAAAAAAAAAATTAAATTAAAAATATACCAAAAAAAACAACAAAGGCTCATGCTTTTCATTCCAAATGTACCCTACCATAAATCGCTTTAAAAAGAATGATTTTGGGAGGAAGAGGATTATCCTTATTTTTTTTGTAAAATGTAATCATTCAATTGATTATAATATTTTTAGGATGTGTTATATATTAATTGCCCACCTCTTAATTTCTCTTCGATAATGTACCTATCAAATATATTTTTTGGTTTAAATGAGAGAATAGGGTGGTGATGCTCCTAATTTCCCAATCGATAACTCGTTTATTTGTATCAATTAATATAATCGCCTTATAGGTCTATATGTTGTTTATATATTAAGCATAAATTATAAGATGTAGATTTTTTTTTAAAAAAAAATTCTCATTATACAATTCATAATCTAGGCGATTCCTTCGTCCATCCTTTTTTAAGAGTAAACGCGCCAAGAGGATTTACTTAGATTATATAAAAAATTTATTTTAATTTAATTAGATAATTTTATATCCGTTCGCATTATTTCATTATTATATTAATTCCACATGTAATAAATTTTTTTTTGTAATTCCCCGAGCGGAGTGTCTCATATATTAAAATGATACATTAAATTAATTTTTTTATGTGGTCTTATGAGGGAGAGAGGAAGAAAGAAGGAAGGAAGGAATGGAAATGAAGAAGTATACGGCAAAAAAAATTTATTAGTTATGGTTAATCTTTCATCGGATTAATTTTTTTTTCAGGCCCGGTCCGATCCTAGTAAAATATAAAAATGGTGTCTGAAATTTCTTAAACATAGTTTCAATCTAATGGATTTTTTTAAATCTGTTGCTGTTGTTAAGAGTACGATATTTCAACAAAAACAGAAAACTTGTAAGCGCAAAATAATTATTTTAGGAATCAACCCTCTCCAAATTAAAATTTTAAATCAAGATTCAATGATTTGACCGAACCCGGAGAATGTCAGCGCGGGCTCTAGTTGTTCTCATTATAAGAACTTCCTAATAGGTTAATTCATGCTTTAGAGTCCTGGACAACGCACCTATTGCTCTCTAATACGCTATCACTCATATCGCAAAATCTCCATATTTCGTCACACATGTTACTTACTTTTAGGACTGACTCATACTAAACAAAATGGACTTGATTTCCGCCTGTCAGCACAATTAAAAAAATTATGTTTAGCCTAAACGTTTAAATTTACATTAATACGCTGTTTGCGAAATATATTTTTTTTCCTTAAAATGAGAGTCGCGATTAAACGAGAAATTATGATGGTGATTGGGAAAGATGATACATATTTTTTCAGATTTTATAAATTTTATAAAATATTCTATTAATTTATTCCAAAATAGCTTATTAAATTTCAACATGAATGTGCTTATTTTTAAATATTTTGTCACCTGAAACTAAAAAATTTTAATTACTTTTTTTCGAAAAAAAATTGAAAAATAATTAACGATTTTAAAATGAATTCTCATCTATAATTTTTAAAAAAAATAGTTGGTATTCTTATTTTAGGAATCAACCCTATCCCTATTAAAATTTTAAATCGAGGTTCGAGATTTGACCGTACCCGAGAGAATGTCAGCGCGGGCTCTAGTTTATCTCATTACACGACCTCCCGCAGAGGAGGGGATATGACGCAAGATCGCCATTGAAATTAAGGAGGGTAGTTTTGATTTGTTAGGGAGGGGGTGGGGGGGGGGGGGGTGAAAACTTTATGGGCTTATGGGAGGGAGGGTGTAAGAAATCCCTGTTAATATCTTGAGCCTATATATTTTATCATAAATTCGTTATAATCTTTCCATCCTCCTATCCTATCCTATTTTCTTAAGACGGGCTACCCAATCGCGGCTCCTTTCGCGCTCTTACGAGTTATGATTATGAAATGATATTGCTATAAAGTACTGTATTATAAATATAATTACGATCACGGCCATGCTTAGTAGAGATTTATGCGGTTGGTATAGTTATCGTTATCAAGGTTACTATATTACACAAACCACGACTAAGTCATTTGTGACAAAAAAAATGACTATTTTTTATACGCAAAAAATTTTAATTGTATTTTTTTTTTATTAATTTTAAAATATTTGCCAAGCCATGGCCTGTCTTCTACTTGTCAAATATAATTTTTTTTTTCTCCCTTCTTTTGATTGTTAAATTTTTTTTAAAAAAAATCATATTGTTATAAATATCTGTTTTTATTATATATAAAATAAAAATGATAATTTGAAATTGAATAGAATAAAAATGGAAAATATCTTTTATATGTTTAAAAAATTTTTTATCAAACTTTCCCTTCTCCCCCATTTTATTTCTGTTCTTTTTTTAAAAAAACCTTCATTCTATTTAGTTTATGTTATTTTAAACAAGATTATAGTCCAACTCAAGGAAATTTCCTTTACTACAGCTGATTCATTTAAATCTCTATTCGTCTATTTATTTTATAATCACATGACTTGTCATGTTTGACAGGTTAATGGGAAAAAAAGGATTAAATTCTATTGAATTCTCATCGAAACCCTAACCCATATCTCTCAAACCTATAAATAACCTTAACCACTCGTATCTTTTGAAAACAAACTCCTGGGCTATTACAAATAAAAAATATGGTGGTGGGTTGGACTGATTTTTTTTTAACTGATTGAAATCCAAATTATTAAAACCTTTAATTTTACTCCTTACTTCGGATGCTTAATTTTAAATATATTTTATCCAATTAAATAATCTCCTTCAATTGAACATTTTTTAAGTTGAGCTGTAAACATCGAGATTTGGCAACTAGAGGTCCAAACCTTTCTGCCATCTAATCTGACTTTTTGACAACCCTTATGTTAACGTATATAATAATGAAGATCGTAAATTCAAAACAACATAATTTATAAAGGCCGATAAGAAAAGAATTCTTTTTTATGTTTATAAATTGTCTGGTTAGACATTTTGAGAATTCGGACCAATCAGGGACCGACACTCAAACCCGGGGTAATCTGGGACCGGGGGAGGGAAAATCTAACACTGAAAAAATATTTTGACAAAATTCCCGCGACAAAACAATTTAAATTTTATAAACCAGAAAATTTGGGTCCAGAATTCCGAAAAATATATGGTTGTTAAATATATGATCACTTAGATGATTAATCGTCTTTCGAAATGATACATTTTTAAAAGTAACTTTAACTAGGCTACAATATATATTGGAAAATTAGCCTTTGAATTATTTATTTCTTCTAATTTTTATAATTCCCAAATGTATATAAAGATGAACCCGAACCGCGTGGAAATTTTTTATCGGATTTTCCGGCCCGTCATATTTTGTTTGAGTTATTCGGTCCGGCCCTTGATTATTTTTTTAAGAAGGGAAACAATTTTTAATTATCAACTTTAAAAACATTCCAGGGTTTCTGGCCATCCTGCACCGACTAAGTCAAAATGGAAATGGTTAAGCTAAATCCGTACCCACAATGCAATTGTTTTCTAAGCGTCATTCAGATATAAACATAATATTTTACATGTTACCTGCACTATTCATAAGCTGCTAATATTATTATATAGCTCTACCGCGACCTGAAATCGAAAGAATTTGCCACTACTTTTAAATCCATGGTCTCCAAAAAGGACAATTTGGTTACCCACGGAGGAATGTCTGAAACGTCCAGCGAGGGTACCACCCATACCGTGAAGCAAGAGGAGCAGGTGGCATTTTCCCACTGGATTAACACGTTAGTTATTAAATCATAAGCTCTTATTTTTATTACTTACAAAATGGAAAATCGATTTTTTTTTAAAATAAACACTAATCTTAATGCGCATTTTGAATGAATCGATCTAGAATTTGGGTTAATTTTTTTAAATATAGATATCGTATTCATTTATGGTAAATACTGACCAAGTAGTCGGAATTACAACAGTGCTGGAATGAATAATTGCACACAAAATATTATCTTATTTAATTATATTATATAGAATAATATTGTTGTTTTTTAAAGAGTGAATATTATTGATTTACATCACGGAAAATATCACCATTTGTAAAACCTTTTCTTAATATATTATCTAAGGAATTTGGGTGGAGACAAAGATCTAAATCACCTACTACCCATTGAACAAGAAGGGATGGATTTATACGATAAGGTGAAAGACGGAATTCTCTTATGGTTGGTGCAATTTTTTAAACGAAATTTTACAACTATATTTGTCAAATTTATTATTCAATTCTATCTTCTTTTTTAAAAAATTCACTAATTATTATCATAATTTCGTATTTTAAAATTTGTTTTTTTTTTCATCATCAAATTTAGTATAGATTTTAAAATAAATTTTCGTATGTTCAATTGTAAAACCTGGCATTTCACATATTATTTTTTTTTGCAAGAAGTCCTGCCCGAAAAATAAATTTTTTTTAAAAATAAGATTCGACAGGAGGAAAAAAACAGGACCACCTTCCTGATCTAATTCGACTCTAAGTCAACTGAATATGGGCATATTTATGTATGGCTCTAATTACGCAGCCCTAGATAATTAGATACTTAACTTTCCCATAAGCCTCTTCTCCGCATATGTATAATATTTATTTTTCACTAGCAAAATCCTGAATTTTTCGTGTCCCGATACCATCGATGAAAGAGCCCTCAATAAAAAGAACCTAAACGTTTACACCATGCACGAGAATCTGGTGTTGGCCATAAATTCGTCCCTGGCCATAGGCTGCAATGTTGTTAACATAGGTGCTGATGATTTAACCAAAGGAAAGCCTCATCTGGTACTGGGACTTCTTTGGCAAATTATCAGGGTTAATAAATATATAATTAAGCTATATATTTTTTTTTTAAAAAAGAGGTTTAATATAACTACCAATAGGGCGGTTATAAGGGAAAGATTCCTAGCGCTAGCAGGAAAGGGTAGGTATATTGCAGGCCTATTTCGAATACAAATAGAAAATAGTATTATTCGTATTCAATTCATTTCAAATAATATTAAAGTTTACTATTTATATTAAATTCAAACTTTTAAAAGAGAAAAAATTTATAATGAAGATTAAATTTATTGACTAAATTAAGATGCATATTAGTTTAAATTAGTTACAACTGCGAAAAGCTTTTCGCAAGCAGTTGATGTGCCTCTATTAATCGCATCACTTGGCAGGTTGACCGGTTATCAATAGATATACAAATTGTTTATGATTCAAATAAACGAATTATTTGAATAGAATAATTGTTTATGATTCAAATAAACGAATTATTTGAATAGAATAATTGTTTATGATTCGAATAAACGAATTATTTGAATAGAATAAATGTTAATGATTCGAATAAATGAATTATTTGAATAGAATAATTGTTTATACGTATTTGATACTATTCGATTCGAAATTAATTGAAGCGAATCGAATATTCGATTCGTTTTTAAATAGATGATTGTATTAAGGGGAGATAATGAATATACATTTTCTATTTGTTTCGGGGTTGGGTAGTTATTTTAATTGGGTTTATAAAATCCTAATTTAAAATTTAATTGGAATAAGTAAATGAGATTGTTAGATACGGATGAGGACAAATATAGAAAATATTATTTAATAATCACTAAAAAATAATAATATGTAGATTTAAATAGATATACTTGTACTCCTTATAATTCCTAGCATATGAGTAATTATTATATCTTTTTTAATTGGCTTGCAGATAGGACTATTTAACCAGGTGGATTTGCAGCACTGTCCTGGTCTGATAAATCTTCTGAGGGACGGAGAAAAGTTGGAGGACATGATGAAGCTTTCCACCGAAGCTATTCTCTTAAGATGGGTCAATTACCATTTGGCAAATGCCGGTTATGAGAAACAGATATCAAATTTTACTACCGATATCATGGTAATTATATAGTAGTAATACTTCACTAATTTGATTTTTTGGGGGGAGTGATAAATTTAAACGTGCTTCTGTTTGTTTTAATTTTTAAGCTATTAACAAACAGATTCTTATAAAAAAAAATATATAATCTGAAATTTTAAAATAAACTATTATTTCCCAATTTATTTCATACAGGATTCTATACCGTACATATATTTGATCCACCAAATCGCGCCGAAAGATAAGTCCGTCAGCCTATTAGCACTTAGGGTAAATAGTACTTTATAATTTTGAGAAGATTAACTAACGCTAATTTATTAGAACAATTATGTCTCTGTTTCCTTATGCGCATCTCTTAACTATTAATTTTTTTTCGTAAACCCTCCTCCCCTTCAATTAGTCTTAATCAGGGCTGTGAACCCTCCTTCTATGAAAAGGGTTCTGGTTCAAAGAAATATCTCTTAACCACGTTGGGGTTAAGGTGATCCAGAAAATTAGTAATATATAGACTTAAAAATTTAGCAAAAAATATTTATTTTACTACAATTAGCACAAAATAATCTATCATTATAATTAGAATAATACAATATAATTTTAAAAAAATAATAATTCTATATGTTTTTTAAAATTTTATATCATGATATTTTCCAAAATCGAGATGTTAAATTAAAATATCGATTTTTTATGCCTAACTTTGCATTGCAACTTAATTTTATTCTTTGCTTTGGTCTTGCTTTTAATTTAACAATCTCCAACAAACAATAAATATTCATAAAATATATATATTATATTATGCAATATCTATTATAAAAAAACTTACAAAATATGCTGGTAAAATTTTTACATAAAATAGAGTACTTTAAAATATAATAAAAAGGATTCCATTCACAAAAATTGAAAAATAAAATAAAAAATTATGGTTTAAATAATATACATATTTTTATATTTAATTTTAATATAGTCTTTATATATGTTATTTTTAATATATTTTTTAAATAAATGAACGTTTTCTATTTCTGAATCCGAAATTTTTTAAAAGGGTTCGGGTAAAATATCGAGGGTTCTGATTTACAGCACTGGTTATAACTATTTTCACATGTTTGGTTTGTAATAGGGCTAGGCCTTAGTGTTCATTAATAAAAAAATTACGTTGTCTTATATTCTTATATTTGTTTTATATGTTTTTTTAAAAAAATATATCGTCTTACTGTAAAAGGAGTCAGATCTTGAACGTCGTGCCGAGCTTATGCTGAAGGAAGCCGATAAAATAAAATGTCGGGCCTTTGTTTCGCCTAGGGACGTGGTTAACGGAAATTACAAACTTAACGTGGCCTTCGTCGCTAACATGTTCAATTCTCACCCAGCCCTCTCGGTGGCGGAAAAGGATCTGACCTCTTTAGAGCTGCAAGAAGACGTTAATGCCATAGAAGAGACCAGAGAGGAAAGAAGTAAGAGCGTGAAAATCTAAATTTCGACTTAAAAAAATATTAACTTTTTTTGAGTGAGGCCCGATGCCTTTTTTAAAAAAAAATTCTACAAGGTTGGAGCTTCACTAGAGTTATGTGGTTTTTAAAGCTTTTTTTTGTGGGGAAGGTATTGTACCAAATTTTTAATTGATAGTCGATATAACCGTTAAGTTATTATGATCTAGTTAATATATCTGTTACCTAAAATCTGACTTACAGCAACGTTAACATACCATCAAAAAGACCTGATACGGGAGGAAAAATTAAATAATTTAGATGTGAAATTAATTTAATGTTATTAGGTTGAGTTTTGTTTTAAGTTAAATAGGTGGCAATATTATTACTTAATTGATGGCGAAGCTGTTTCTCAGTGGTGTTAACATATGGAAAGGAAAACTAGATAAGTTATAATAGCGAAGAATCTCTCTTCATTTAAGTTACTAATAATCAAATGGAAAATCTATTGTTTTATTAGTTTTGTTAGCTAAGTAAAGGAATGGAAGCGCATAATGCGCAACATTGATCCAGAGTTATAGACTCCTTTTAAATTATATTAAAAATATTATTTTTATTAAATGTTATATATAAAAAGCTTACCGCAATTGGATGAATAGCATGGGCGTATCGCCACATGTTTACTGGCTTTACAGCGATCTGTGCGATGGCCTCGTTATATTACAAGTAATCCATAATTTTTGCGTTATTTTTTCTACTTTTATTTGATAAGTCTTAAGGTTAAAATATCGAAATCACCAACAATTTAAAAACTTGAAAGTTAAATAAAAGGAAAATGTCTTATGTTTTGGGAAAACATTCCTGAGTGTTTAATTTATTATGATTTGAGAAAGAATAATTTCCTACATAGTTGGAAAATAACATAGTTTTATCTTGTAAAAAATAAAATAATTAAAGGGCAGGATTTGATAGTATTTGGAATATATATTTTAACTAAAAACATAAATACCGTCAAATTTATTATAGCACTTTTTTAATTCTACATTTATTTTTATGAATAAATTTTACTAACTAGTCGTTACTACATCATTACTCTAAATATATAGTTTTTTTATCGTAAAAACTGTATCGGTAAAATGAATGCTATGGATATTTTAACCTTATTAGGTCTATCTTACCCTGCATTCACAGTTGGGGCGAATTCATGTTCAAGTATTTAAAAACACAGCATAATTTGTATAAACTTTGCCGCCAAATCGCGATAACTATGAATACAGGGTTAATAAAATTAAGATTAAAAAAGCATCTGCTCGTGAAGTAAAGATCGAAAATTTTTGTTTAATCCACCAAAGATGTATGCATATCACTTTATTTGCCGATATAAACGCTTGTTTTAAAAAATATATATACAAGATCTAGATCAGGCAGGCACATTTTGAAAAATGGTGGTTTATTCGGTTTAAATAATATATGCTATGAATAAATGATTTAAAAAATATATATCCTTGTCATTCAATCATTTAAGTTGTATGACATCATAAAGCCGGGTATAGTGGAATGGTCTAAGGTTCATAAACGGTTCTCCAAGCTTAAGGCCTTTATGGAAAAGATAGAGAATTGCAATTACGCCGTATTTTTGGGGAAGAAGATCAGGTTTTCTCTCGTGGGTATAGCCGGGCAAGATATTAATGACGGAAACACTACATTGACATTAGGTTAACTAACTACTTTTTTTTATATATGATAGGATTCTCATTTTAAATGTGTCTTTCTTTCTTAATTTTCAACCATGTTCATGTTTTTATTTGTATCTATGGGTACCATATGCATAGCCAATGGTGGGGGCAATGGGAAATCCTCCCGAAATTTGCCTGTCCATTTTAAACTAATAAAAAAAATGCCCCTACACACTCCCCCACCCCCCTCCTACGAAAAAAATACACGCAATCCTATAAACAAGAATTTAAAAGAAAAAGTTGATAATTTTTTAAAATTTTTTAGAAAAAAAATACAATAAAATTTTTGTGAGAAAACTTCAGCTAATAGTACCCCCTCCTTGGCAAAATCATAGTTACGCCTATATTAAAATCTTCAAATAATGTCAATAGATCAAACACAATTTGAACGATAATAGAAATTGTTTTTGTTGTATTGTACACTTTTTTAATGTATATTTTATTTGATAAAGTGATTTATTTTAACAGATGTATTAATTTTTATGTAAATGACTGATGATATTTATTACATTAACGAAATTGTAAAAATCACTTTTTCATTTTATATAAACATTTAATTTTATAATAATAAAAAAAATATAAAGAGAAAGTTAACAAAATTTTATCTCAGAGTATCGCCATCAGAGGTGATACTCTTATTCCAATAAAATATATACGCTAAATTAAATAAAATCAATTTATGAAGGTTTATTCTTTTTATTAGATAAATATGAAAGTTTTAATAATCTTTTTTTTTAAAGTATATAATAGTACTTCCATTCCAATCATAAGCCTTCTTTAGTATAACACAAAAAAGAATGATTACGTAATTTCTCAATGTTAATCCAGTGGCATCGCTAGGATCTCATTTATAGTAAACGTTATGTTCACGCGGTGCGTTATTTATAATCAAGAATAAATTAGTATAATTTATATATATGAAGTGCGCATTTACTATAAATGAGGTCTAAGGAAAGGTGAAAAACATACTAAACGCCTAAAATATTCTCAAAATTTATAAAAAATATATATTTATATTAATTTACATAATAAACATTTTTTCTCAGCTCTGGTGTGGCAATTGATGAGGGCCTATACTCTTAGCCTGCTCTGCAATCTGACAAGTAATAATCACAGTGGGACCCCTAAGATTGAACGTGAAATCATCGATTGGGTCAACAATAAAGTATTTGCTTATTTCTTGTGTTTTTTTAATTAATATTGGGAAAGAGCCTTTTGGAAAAAAAATATCCCAGTGGGGAAAAAACTTAATTCTCAATAAACTAATAATGAAAAAAAATAAGCAGATATGAAATTCATTCTGTTCTTTTTTAGCTAGCTTAGATAAATATAATTCTTTTAGAATACGATAAGTAATTTTCGGTGTTAATAGGAGTGAGATCTATTAAATAAAGTTGACTATATTGTAGAAGTAAAATTTAATTTTTATTATAGTTTGTTATATATATAATTAAATTAAATAACTTATAAAAATTTAAGTTTTTTTTAAATTAATTTGCTTTAATTAGTAGAGAAATGTAGATATTTTATAATAAACTGAATGTTGCTTGAGTTAACTAATATACTCGGTTAAAAATATGTAGGTTTAACAAATAATTCTAAAAGGCCCATATTTTTTTTTACAGGCAGATAATTTAAAAGATATAATTAAACATTTACTTTGTTAAATCGAGTATTAAACGATGAATACGTTATTCGGTAAATTCATTCTTAGATTTACAAGATTCAAATCGAAAGATATGCTTAACCTTTTTTTTGCTTTCACACAATATTATGCCAAAAAATGATCATTTATTAAATTTTGGACATTTAAAAATTACTATCTTCTGATCTTTCATTTTTATTGGGCAAATATACAAGATGTATAACTTGAAAAAAAAAATGGTAATAAGATAACATTTTATTTAATTAGGTAAAACATTTTCACGCAATACGTTCACAAATAACTCTTAATAATTATATTATCTTGATCTTATTATACCTCATATATGAAATGTTCCCACTATTGGTGTAGAAGAGACCAAAATATTCTCAACTACACTATCATAAATTGTTCAGTGAGTATCTTAATTATATCAAATTTGGAAAAGAAGATATCAATCTAGCTCGTCATTTTAATAAAGGTTATCAATTGCCACTGCTGACATTGAACGCGGTAAACATTCTGTTTTAGAAAATATAGCTAGGAAATTTCGAAGAAACGACCTATTTTTAAAAATATTAGGCAAACAATTAAATATCACGGGGGACGACCCAAGTGAAAATCCATATCTTGGACATAAAATATAAATCTGCAGATCCAAACATTTCTATTCATGAATCGATGCCTACTAAATTTCCAGCTCCATAATATAAATAGTCTTTTTAATTTTAAATATATTTTTGTCAATATATTTAGTCGATTTTTAAGTTCAAATAAAAATCTTAATTATGAAAAATAAAATTTGAAAACAATCTAATTTTTTCCGGGATTAGAAATTAATAAATTACAAAATTTAATATACCATGTATTTCTTTAAGAAAAGGAAATATTTTATAAAGTAAAATCTTATCTTGTTGATATTTCAGTATAAAACGAAATTCGCCATAATTTAATGAATATAGATTTTGTTATATTTACGTTCATCCCAATCCCAAAATCATTTTTAAAAAAATTCAAAATATAATTGAATTTTTTAGAATTGTATTTTGAAAATATTTTTATATTAAAAATACTTATTTCTTCGAATCAAGTTTTTTTTATATATAAATAAACGTTTTAAGTTTATTTTTTTACCATTTATAACATTGATTGAATCGATGTAAAAGGTTGAGATTTATAGTATTATTTTATTTTTAACTTATTAGTTTATTCATTTATAAATAAAATATTACAACCCATAAGATTATTCCCTCCTTAATAATTAGCTGAATTTGCATATCATTTTCAAATTGACCTAATGCACAAAATTAAGCAAAGTCTACACTCTTAAAGTTAATTAACTGACCCTGTTTGAAATGATTATTAGGGTTATTAAACAATTTTCCATTTATTTTTCTCCGCTAAGCTTAAATCCAACAACAAAACATCAAAAATCAATTCGTTCCAAGATTCCTCGATATCGAATGGCAAAGTTATCATAGATTTGATAGACTCTATAAAGAGGGGAAGCATAGATTATAGCCAAGTCAAAGATGGAACAAGTGACGAAGTAAAATATCATTATTGTTTATTTACAAATGTTTTTTGTGTTATTTCTTTTTTTTCTTAAATTGCTATATATGTCATATTGGAAGGACAGAGATTTTTAAATTTGAAATTTCTTAATTTCATCAGATATGTATCCCAGCAGTGCAGATTACCTTTTCAACAATTATAGGCGGGCGAGCCGGTTAATTTTTTTAAACAATGGGCCCTCGGGTTAAAACTCCTACTCTTGTTGTGGACCTTTTTATTTCAAACCTAACACGTTTTTTCGTTTATATTTTGTACCCTTTAAATCTTTATTATTCACCTTTTTTTTATAAATATTTTATTTATTAATGCCATAAATATTTTTTAAAAATCCGCAGGCAAAACTAGAGAACGCTAAATATGCCATATCCATGTCCCGCAAGTTGGGAGCCAAGATATACGCCCTCCCCGACGACATAGTCGAGGTTAATCCCAAAATGGTTATGACTGTTTTCGCCTGTCTCATGGGTCGAGATTTCAATAATATACAGGCCTCCCATCTAGGGAATATAGGAAATACTATTCATTGCAATGGAGCTTCTAACGACTGCGAAAGTAAGCAGGATGAAAAATGCGTCAAAATAAATGTTTCCACTTATTCATCGCCTCGTCTCTCTCCTACTTCTTCTCCCTTGAAAGAATATAATCCCCCCTTCATTCCTAAAGTTGTTGAAAAGGGAAAAAGTCCTAGCCCAGCCCGGTTCTCTCCCACTTCTTTCTCAAACTCTCACTCCAACTCTCCTCCCAATTGTAATGTTACCAATCGCAACGTGGTCAGCAATTTTAACAGTCGTTTAGCTGGCCCTGGTCTTCAGAATCTTCATCGCGTAGTGTACAGTTCGTCTTCTAACCATTCATCCCCCATCGCTTCTCCGGTATCGCCCCAACCTCCTCTTGCCTCATTCTCTCAAAATAACATCACAAATAATGCCACCACAAATTTTTCCAATTTGGGTAGCAGCACAAATTCTTATACAAGAGATACTAAGACTCCTACCCCGACTAGCTCCTCTGACCATCTTAGCCCTCGAGACAGTCCGGCTTCTATTGTTCACGGGAGAGATAAAACTTATGAATCGCCTTTGAATGATAGCTTCGACCAAAACAACGAGATCGAAATGCCAAAAGATAATAAGAGCGAAGATGTTAAAGTGAGCCAATTAGAGATTCAAAATATTTATCACGAGACCTTTAACTCGGAAATCGATGATGTCAGCGAAAATAACGAGCCTGGCGACGTGAAAGATGATTTCAATTTAAGACTAGAGGGAGTCAAATACTCCTCGCCTCTTAAAAAAAGTCCCATTCTCAATAGTGTCATTAACGGGGATACCATGGCGAGCAGTACGGTAGCGAAGGAGAGCAAAGATTTATCGTCTTGGATAGGCAAAAATGGCTCTAATAGTTACGAGGGCGATAGTTTCGAAGAGGGGTCCGAGGAAGAAATTAACCCAAACCCTGGGGCAGCTTGTAATGGCCATATAAAATCGCCCAATGGGCTTATCACCAACAAAAGCTTTTGCTGATATTAAAATTTTGGTTAGAAAAAAAACAATGTAAAAAACGCTTTTATAATAAAAATTTTTAAAACCCATTCTTATTATAATCTGTGCCTCCCTCTTTTTTTTAAATGAAAAGTTTTTTAAAAAAATGTTCGTTTTTGTGGTTTTACAACTATATTCATATCTTTATAAGTATAGAAACTTACCTAAAATTATTTATTGTACAATATATCGAATACTATTTTATTAATGAAAAATCGATGGAAGTATGGACCTACCTAAAATTATTGTACGATATATCGAAAACTATGATGGTTTTATTAATGTCGTTTTAAGATTTTAAATTCGATGCTTCATCACATACAATAAAAGTACATCGTACAATATTAAATAGCACCAAGATAATAATTTCTTTTTGCCTCTTTCACACATTCCTTTTTTTAAATTAAAAATTTTGTTTCTGCAAAGAATATCAATATTAATCGGAATCATTTTTCCCTACATTTCACTTGTAACAATATTTCTTTTTGGGAGCATTGATGTATTATTTTATTACACACAATCATGTTTTTTTGATACTTTTTAGCACCTTTTAGGATAATTTTTTTTTACAATTATACATACTTTTTTTCCATTCAGACACATTTTTTTAAAAAAATTTAAATATTTTGATAAATAATCGTTGATAAATCGCTTGAGTCTGTTTTAAAATAAATTAAACATATATTTTAAAATTACTTAAAATAATTATCTTTTTATATAAATAAATATAATTTTGGTATACGGACATTTTTTTAAAAACGATTTTAAAGTTGTAAGGGCCACAAAACTGAATTTTGTTTTTTTGTGGTTATAAATCGTACTAGCTAATAAAATTATATATAGATGTAATAAAATAAAGACATATTTAATTTCTTTTTTTCTCACTAAATTAAAAAATCTTAATTTTGTATCGCTTATTTGTGGCTCTGTGAACTCAAAAAAATATTTATATATATTATTCAATCTTTTTATGTCAACATTATTGAATACACTCATTTATATTCGTATCTTTTAAATTATAACAATTATTTGAATAAATATATAAAAACCCGAAATGAAATAGCTTATATTTTGATATTAATCACTTTTTTTTATCTTTATTGATATCATACATACTTAAATTTTTTTAAAATATAAATTATGATTTATATTATACACCATTCATTATATACGTATACCTTTGAATAATAAAATATGGATTATTATAGAAACGGGATAAATCTGACTTAACTGCATTCCATTATTGAACAATTTTATATTTACACGAAATGTTTTTTATATGTAAAGTCGAAATATTTATTTATGAAAGGGGAATAGGATGAGTATTATATAAGTATCATTGAGGTATAGTTATTTAGATAATAAATAACTATAATTCGAAGAGATATATCGACACAACTTTATAAGTCTGGATTCATAGTGAAAAGTTGTGTTAATTAGTCGACTTCTTCCGACTATGACTAATAGTCGTAATCGTGGAAATCGACTAAAAACTTTAGCGATTAAATTAATCCACTAATTTCGTGGATTTGCTTATAACTTTATTTTTTATTATATTTGTTTATTTTTAGCGCCTGGCTGGCACCAAATCTAATATTTTGTATATTTATTAAAATTATATAAAATAAATATAATAAAATTAATTATTTTAGTCTTAGTCGATTAATTTAGTGGCTAAAGTATTTAGTAGAATTTTTCGACTATATTATTTAGTAGACAGTTAGTCGAATAACAACACTAGTAAGGAGCATGAGATATCTATTCCGTCAAATGTCATTTAAAATAATTATTCATACTTGCATCCGTTCCTATTTATATTATTTTAATGAGATAAATGTTTTACGGAACTGAGATACGAGGCTACTATAAATCAAGCCTAACGACTGATCCCGTTCTTAATAAGATTATGGGTAAAATACCGATTATAGGGAATTAAATATACAAAAAACAGACTATTCTATATTTTTTTTAATTTATTGATCTAACTATCACCAAATCAAAAATAAATAAAAATTCAGTATTTAAAAAAATCGATACATACATTAGAGATCTGCAAATCATGGTCCGGCCTGAAAATTTTTCTAAGTTAATTTCGGTTCGGGCATAATATTTTTTAAAGATTTCGAGCAGGGCCGGATTTAAATATTAGGCCCGATGCAGATCACTAACATTCACACATTACCAATATCTTTAAGTGTTGAGATGGTATTATGTTTAAAAAATATCAATTATGTTTTTTTAAAATACAAATTGTATAAAATTAATAGCTTATATTGAAAAATAATAAGTATTTTTGTCAAAAGAATTTATTTAAACTTTTCAGATGGGTTAATCAAATTTAAACGGCAAACATTGATAAATTTTATACATTTCAAAAACTCAACTATTCATTCGACGCGAATTTTAGTATTTGATACAAAAATATAAAATATGATGCTTCCAACAAAGTTCATAATTAGGTTCGCAGTTTGGAAGATCAATCTTGGAGCGAAAACACTCCATACGAAAATGTGATGACGTTGAATCGTGGCGGAAAGACAGGTGATGAATACAGAATTTTGCACATAACTGGTATGGAGGATAAGAGAAGTTCTATAAAGAAATAATTAAGTATAACTAGGGTTTTTTTATTGTGAATATTCATTTTTTTTTAAATAATTGCAAAAATAGCAAATAGGAGAAATATGTCAATCAATTAGAATTTTTTTTTAAATATATATATCAAGCATTATTTGAATGATTAATTGACAAATTTCTTTTATCGATTGAGTAGTTTCCTCTAATCGTTTGTAAATTACTTATTGTTTTTAAAAATTTTAATTTGAAATTCACTAAAAAAAAAATTTACACTAATTTTGATTTATTTCCGTCATGTCCAAATATTTTGATCAGCAAGGATAAAAACCAGAATATGGGCCCGTAATACACAGAGAATATTAAGGTTAGAGCATCACAAAGAATGGAGAGATGACGTTTTAAGAAAGGACCGAACAAATATCCACTTTTGGCGATAGGACTCAGATCTAACGAACTTAATTTATTAGAATTTCCCCAGTAATTGAATGAAGTTCGGCCGCATACAATAAAATAGAAAAACGCACCTGTCAAATAAATCGGACATTTTTTTACAATATTTATAACTCAATCGGTGTTAATTTAATTATCTATTTTACAGAAATATATCAAAAAATTGGCATACATTTAAGACTCACCATAGACGCCTCGATTAAAGTGGACATCAATCGTAGAAGGAAAAAAAGGTTCTAAAAGAGCCTCGTGAAGGGAAAACATAGCGATGAGAGGAATTTGTGACGGCTTGGTGACAAAAATGGCTAGAGCGACACTCAACTGCCGCACACAGCACCCCAATTCGTAAATCAAAGGCCCTGTCCAAAGTTGTTTCTTACCACAATTGCAGGACTCTTTTCGCGATTGATTCCTCATCCCTATCGATATATTTAGGACAAAATTTGTGAATAAGAGCAAAATGACAATGGCCCCTGCCCGGTATTTATCTATGAGAGGATAATCATTAACGTTATCTATAAATCTATTCTCCTCGCCGTCAGTCATGTCAAACGCGATCTTGAAAACTATCAAACCTGTGAAAGCAAGACAAAATATCAAATAACAGATTGATTTTTCCCATTTCCGGTTATAGTAACCATATACGCTTTGATCCGAGCAACTGGCTGGGGCAATTAAATACGCGCTTAAGATTACGCTTGAAATAACCAAAATACGTCTCATAGCGAGTGATGGGATGAAAGAATATACATTGATCTGGTTAAATAGGGTATCTGATAATGATTCGATATGATACCACTTGTCCCCGGCTCTATTCCATCTCCTTTGAAGTAGAGTAAGAGATAAGAGTCCTATACTAGTGTACAAGTTATTTCTTCTTGAGTTTGCTAAGTATGACTAATTTATGTATTTTTCCCCAAAAAAGGGAATTAAGTTATTAAATAGTTAATTGACTTAACATATATATATAATATACTCAAATTAAGATATAAAGAAATCTTAATTTAAATCTACTCATTGAATTTTGATGCAATTTCATTCATATTTTTTAATTTGTAAAATTAGCGCTTTATATTGCCACGATTTCTATAATTTATAAATAAATTCGGCTATTTTTATGATACCAAACAAGTAGTGTGTTGTTAAAATCCTTAATTTAAGATTTTAACAAATAAAAGCACCTAAGCCTTAAGATTTCGCTAAAAGATGGCAGAAAGGTAGGAAAAAATGTTACGAAAAATAGGTGCCATATTGATTTGATTTGATTTTTATTAGGGACCTAGAAGAAGAGTATTTTTGCGTTTCTGTTCCGTTCATGTTCCAGCAAAAATATACTCCGTTTCATTACATGTTTCAAATATTGTTGTTCTACGGATTATTTTGAGCCGATTTTTTATAACGGCTAACTCAAGATTTTTCCCGTCGGTGGCACAAACATCTATTCGCTAAATCATAAGGCTTATGGGCAATATTTTTCTGGCGAAAACATTGAGTCATTTTTAAAAAATCAGCGGATCGTTTAACAACACTATTCAAGGCTTTCCTAAAAAAACTTATTTCTTTTTACTATATTTATATAGTAGTGAACCAAATTTTTACAATATATAGTATTAATTAAGACGTTTTCTATAAAAAAAAATTGTCATTATTAGTGTGTTAGGGTTTGTAAATTTAGTGTCAAAAAAAAGCTTCTCAAATCTAATTTGGTGACTATATTATCCATAATATTATTTTCATAATAAAACACATATAAAATAAGTGTATGCGTAATGCATGGTTTTTAAATGGAAGATCAAAGATAATAAATGGTGTCGAAAAATCGTTATAACCATAACCAATCCACTCCTTATTTCATGTCTTAAATTAACTAATTACACTAATTGTATAACTAACTCTTATACCCCACACTTTTCTATCATTCAACATAAAAAAAATGTAAAAAAAACTTGAGATATTAACAAAACGTGGCAAGTTACACTTAATAAATAAAAGATTTGGTGTTCCTCTTCGATAAAACTGCTGGCAAAATCGGATAACGGCACCAGGTAACATATCCAGATGACTAACAACTCAAAATTGAAAGCGCGAACAATAGGGAATGCGTGTATTAAAGACAACGCGCCGATATTGCAAGTTGATTTTTGTGTTTTGAGGTGCCTCTATAAGAAATATTTTTAAAATCGTTATTTACAAAAAAACGTAAGTATCCATCCTTATATCCCCGCGAGCCTTATTAAGAAACAAAAGTAATATTTCATCGTGGCGTGAAAAAGAAGAAAGTGAAAAATTCAATAAAATAAAAAGATAGAAAGAAAGGAAAAGAAATTGTTTCAAAATTAGGCTGGATTAGTAGTGGGACACAACTTAACAGCTGATCGATTTTAAAGATATATAAGATCATCTTTCTGTATTAATATTAATTTTATTCCTGATAATAATCCAAGAATTATTGATTTTAAATAAAAGAAAAATTGATAGCATTAAAAAATTTTAAAATCGCACGACTGTTAAATTGTGTCCGATACGATCCCACTATGAATGCTGCCTTGATATTACAATACAATATCAAAATAGGCCGATAACAAAAGAAACAACTGCAAATTCAGCTATTTCGCTTTAGGTTTGATGGTGGAATTCGATTTTTAAAAATAACTTGAAAAATGTTTTTTTTAAATATAGGAATAGGTCTAGGGCCGTACTTTGGTCCCCTTCATGTTTGAGCGAGGTTTAAAAATTTTTGTCCCGGTTTCAAGTAAAACGAAGATGAATAGAGATGAAAACGCAACCAATTTGTGATCATAACTTTCTAAACTCAAAATTTAAATTGGTAAATATATCAAGTGTATTTAAACATTTTAAACAGAATTTCTGTGTTGTTAAACGACTCATTAGATTTTAAAAAACGGCTAACTCAATATTTTATTAGGAAAAATATTATGCAAGCCTTAAGATTTTGCTCATAGGTGGCACAACTATTAACGAAATCTTGAGGCCTAAGGAATATTTTTCTGGCTAAAATCTTGAGTTAGCCGTTTTTAAAAATAGGCTCAAACTGAGCCTTTTAACAATCCTAGTGGTCTCTGGTGTCCTTAAAACTCATAATATCTTTGAGACATAAATTTTCCTTCTTTCTTTATTTATTTTATATAAATAATGTAATTCCCTTTTCATTTTCTTTTCTTTTTTTAAAAAAAATAGGAAAGAGATTAATTTCACAATGATAGAAACCCATCGATAAGGCGTAGAAAAAGGCCAAAATTGCCATCACATAACGCGCAAACTGGAAATAGCCACTTATATTTTCCGGGAAAAATGTGATATTGGTTGCAAAAACGATCTAAAAATGTTTATTTTGTTAATTATATTTTCATATAAAAAAAATTCAAACAAATAAGTGACATAAATGATAATTAAAAATTTGAGTCACGTGATTTTTTTTTGTTCCATTTGAAAATCGCGTAAAACATTTTCAATTTTATTTTTGCAACTTTAAAAATAATAGATTTTATATTCTAAAAAAAGTTAAATTAAAATTTTTTGTCAGTTTCTTTTTAAAAAAAAAAATATGAATGGATTTTATAATTATAAGATGCCTCTTACTCCAACTCAATTTGCCCCAAAAAGTGCCTATTTGATTAATAACGACAATATTATGGGAAGGTTTTAATTTAGGCGTGGTGGCGCCAATTATATAGATATACTACTAGATTGACGATTCATTCTTTAAATACATTTTAAAAGTGTCTATACATAGGAGTCAGCTGTATTGCCGCTTCATGGTTTGCACGTCAATTAAATGACATTAATATCAATTCTTATAATGATAAATAAAGAAAATCAATCGAAGGACAAACCACAAAATACCGCTATAGATTCCTATGTATGGACATTTTTAATTAATTGTGGTACGCTTTTGCCCCTGACTAAGGATGTTCCCACTTTTATACTTGATATTTATCTGTTTTAAACAAGTTAAAATCTGCTAGATAAGGATGGTAAAAGACCAAGAGAATGACAGGGATTACTGATTATGTTATTAAAAAAACCACTAATTTGATCAAAATAGACGTTATATTTACTCGTAACATTATCAAGAGACCACAGGTCATGTAAACTAAATCGTAATGAATCGAACGCATTCTTTCGCCCACTAAATTTTCCATATCGGTTAGCCGAGCCTTAACTTGTTCTAACGTTAACGCAGTTAATTCCTTTTCGTCTGAATATCGTTTGTTTTATGATTATAATTTCATATAAACGTGATAAACTCTTGAAAAAAAAATTATTTCGAGCCTTCCATTTTTATCTAGAGTGTGTATTTAAATAATTAATTTTTTATAAATCAATAAAATTTTTAAAGGTTAAATTGTACGTGTCTAACTATTATAATAGGAGATTATCTTAGAATTAGTGGTTATTAATAAAAAAAATTCATACCATTTAATATTATATTTATGGTTTAATATTTGATTTTTTTTACTTTTATAAAAAATTTCGCATTCTGAGTTTACTTGATTAATTTTATAATAGATTCACTTCAGAAAAAAATAAGAAATAGGACGATGATATTAAAATAATTATCATTTTGCGAAATGGTGGCCATTTTGCCTAGTTTGAGCCAGGCCTTATGGAAACTGTATATCCATAGTACCACTCCCACCATTATTGTTGAAGCTTTAAAATCACATAAATTATACTAAAAACTAAAAGCATACCAAATATATATATAATAAAAAGTTAATCAAGAAACAAAGCATAAAATATTCATATTCAACGATTTTCTCTTAAGCCACCTTAATTACAAAAACTTATATTATAATATTCTAACCGTATACGAATTCCGTCAACGAGCCCAATTGCAACAAATTCTTGATGGCGAACATCTTCAAGACATTGTTTTTAACTCCAGCGACTCCTCCACTATTTTCGTCATTATGGAACAAAAACTTTTCGATGACCTCGAGCTTAATGACTCCAAGACTCTTCGATGGAATTCCACACCCAAATAAGGCTGCTAACGTGGGAACTAAGTCGATTTGCCGCATGGACCGTTGTTTATAAGCGTGCGATGAATCATTCTTACTATCGTGTTTATTTTGTGAAGATGGAGAGCTATTTTTGTACAAGGAATTCCGATTTGATAGAAGTTCGTGGTTGTAAAAAGGTGAGAAAATGAGGGGTGTCCATATTTCTTCCTGACTAGCACCACCGTGATTACCCGAATCAGTCATCCCATGATCTCCGCACACTACCAAAAGGGTTTTAGACGTATTCTTCGATATTTTAGTTTGTGTAAAGAAGAATAAAAAAATTTAAAAACTCTGCCCGACCGATCCTATAATTTTTTTCTATCAAAGATTCGAACCTAATAAGAAATTTTATCATAGAAATCAAAATCAGGCAGAGGCTACATTTATAGTGGGATCCGATCCGACAAGATTTAACAGCTAATCGATTTTAAAAATCTTTTATGGGGGCCTAATATCATATTTTCTAGAGGGTCTGGGCCGGGCCTGGGTTTAAAAATTTTTTAAATTATTATATACTTATATCATATTTTGTATATTTCGCCACGAACGCACTAGCTATGAATGCTGGGTTACAAGATTTTAAAATGGCTCAGCTATTAAATCGTGTGGGAAGGGATCCTCAATATGACAGCTTGAGTCCAAGAAAATGTCTATCCGAGTCCGAACGTGCGGTGTTCGAACTATCGGATTTCGGATGGATCAAACTCGGCTGGTTGGGATTCAGGTGGGTCCCCAGGGCTCTAAAAAATTTACAATCTTTTCGTTAATCATATATTGAAAACATGTATATTAGTTTTTATTTGTAATTTATTAAACTGAAACTCAATCGATTCCCTAAAAATTGAGAAAATATAAAACACAAATAATTAAATAATAATAAAAAAATTTGAGTATAATTATTTTTATCCAGGCTTTTAAAAATCAAAAAAAAGTCCCAAAGTAAAAATTCTAAATTAAATTTAATAGATAAAGGTTTGTAGTTTAAAATATAATAGTAAATATTGCTTATTTTATTAAGGTTATAGCACTAAAAGAATATTTATTACATATAGTTACATATTATTACTCTTTAATGATGTTCAGAATTTTCACTTATCTATTTTGCTCTAATATTAATTTGTGTTGTTAAACGGCCCGATTTTTAAATAATGGTCCAATTAAGATTCTAGACAAAATAATATTATGTGAGCTTGGATATTTTTCTCATAGAAGGCAGTTGGACCTTTATTTGCCAAATCTCGATTCTAATATAATAATATTCTAAAATCCTAATAAATCCGTTTTTATTACTTTAGTATAAATAAATATAAATTTATAGCAAGTCAGTGACGAAGCGTCTATAAAAGCAAGGGAAGTAAATTTTTTTTAAAATTTTTTAAATAAAATTAATAAAATCTTTATTCAAGAAGATCATATTAAAGCATTTCCTATCATAAATATATAGAATATATATTTTGTTATACATTTTTATATTTTAAATTTGAAAAATAAATATTTTAAATAAAAAGTTATTAATTGTATGATCAGATATATGTAATAAGAAATAATTATAAGTAATTATATAAGTGACTATTGAGAAAGATTTAAAGGTATCTAAATTAAAGGTCTGCATTGGGCGAGTTTCGACCGCCCGCCCACTGGTAAATTTTTTTAATAACAGGCAGACGGGCGGATTAATAAAAATTTAAGCTATGGGCGGGTGGGTGGGTTAAGAAATTTAAACAATGGGCGGGCAGGTTAAAAAAATTTAAAATCATCTAAGTAAATATTATTAAAAAAATTGTTCCTATGAACTTTTTTGGATATTAAAAATTAAAATGCCTTTTTTGGTATCATAAAAACCTTTTTTCTTAAAATAAATAAACTTTATGTATATTTAAAACTTTGGTGGAAACGACAAGATAGAGATTTGCTAACGCTATCAAGATTAGCAAGAAAAATATTAGCAATTCCTGCAACTAGTACTTCTTCTAAACGAGGATTTAGCATTGCTGGTTTTTAGAACAAAGAAAAACGTGTTTATACAGAAAATGTCGAATCATTATTATTTTTTCATTATTAATTACATATAATATCAATTTAATATTTATATTATTTTCATAAATATTTTATTTGATCAAATAAATTACCCATAATTTAAATTGAATATTTTTTATGCTTAATATAGTAATTTCCTAAAAAAATTTACAGATGTCTAATGCTGAATTTTTTTTTATTAGATGCTTAAAAAATTGAAAGAATGGCCAAAATTAAATTTTACAATAGCGGGCTTGGGTTAAAAATTTTTTATAAATAATAGGTGGGTGGGTAAAAAATTTTAGACTAATGGGCTGCAGGTAAGGAATTTTAGATTAATGGGTGGGCAGGTGGGCAGGTGGGCGGGTAAGGAATTTTAGATTAATGGGTGGGTAAGGAATTTTAGACTAATGGGCAGGCAGGCGGGATTGTTTTTGAAAACTATGGGCAAGCAGGTTAAATTTTTTAAAACATTGAGTGGGTGGGCTTATAGTCCAAAAACCTGCCCAATGCTGACCTCTAATCTAAATTATAAATCTGCATGGCATCTTTATAATCCATAAAGATTTTTAACCCAATTTGCCCTTTCCTTTATTTAAATTTTATCCTATCCATCTCATTTATATTTACCTCTTTACAAAAAATAGCAAAATAATTTTCTATAATAAAAATCAGACTTGCAAGCCCAGCCCTAAGCCCGGCCTGGATACATGGGCTGGGCGTATATTCATTATTTTATATATACCCAGTTTAAATATACCCAGGCCAGGCCAGGCCTGATATTTTTTTTAATAAAAATACCTTCCGATATTTTTTTAAAAGTCCAATATATGTGCCTATCCAAGCCCAATATTTAATATTAGTACAGCCTTAAATTTTAATACTATATTGTCATTACTAGGACTTCCTTACCCAGGAAAAGATACACTTTTTTAAGCATTTCATCCATTTCCATTAATTTAAGTTCTGTAGTAGGGTGATGTGGACCATAAAGGTGGCCAGCATGGTCTAGACCTAATAAATATTTGTAAACATATGTTGTATTAAATTTAATCTATCAATTTTAAATTATTAAATTATCTACTGAAAACAATTTAAAAATATAAAAAAATCTGATTTTGATTAGAAATGCATTCCAGAATTGTGTAGAATACCTGGCCTGTTAATTTTAGATAACTATAACTTCAATATGAATGTTTATACAATTTTTAATTTTAAGAATCTATAAAAATATTAATATTAATTATAAATATTTCAAAAGATGATAGCAAAGTTGTATGACATTTATAGTATGTGATGTGGGTACACTATACAGGCTGGAATTTTTCCATTAAATCACATTTATCAAATTTAGAAACCATCTTTGGTAAATGATTTAAAATTAAGATTTAGAATCCATTGATATCAAATACCAATACGTAATATATAATGTATTTAATTTTTAAAATAACAAAATATTAACCTAAAAAATGAGTAATTAAAACATCCCAATTTCTTTTGTGTATATGTGATTGATTTAGGATTTTGAACAAAAAATATTCTGGATCCTTATCAATTTTAATGTAATCACTTACATCAAATGAGGGTAGAGGATGTGAGATATTATAATCAAATATATATGGGTATAATTTTATCCAAGTATCATCCCCAAATAATATTACTTTGATTTTCTGTTTATTGCCTTTTTTATCTATTGTTTTTTAAATGAATATAATGTGGTTTTAACAATTAATATCAACATACTTGACAAAGAGTCTTTAATCTCCTTTAAGATATTATCTTCTGGATATGTTCTAGCTTTAAAATTATACAAGATATCTATAAAATCAGGGATTCGACCTGTTGTTAAAGCCTTTAGAAAATATAATTTTTAACTATTTTAAATAATAACTTTTATTCTGGGCATAGTAACTGTAGGTGTTTGAGATTCTGCATGATAATACATAATATCAGGGTCAAGATTAACTTGCTTATATAAAAAAGGCATTGTAATGTTATTTAAAAAATTTATTCTAAATGCATCAATAACAATCCAAATTAGCTGATCAAAGTAAGTCAAATTCAATATTGATTCATCATTAAACTGAATATTTTTTTTAATCTGATCTTAAATAAAATAGTATATTAAGTTTTTATTAAATACCTGGATGTTTGAAAGTTTTAATATTAGGAAAGAATCCAATAAAAAATATGAAAAATCCAATAATGTATATCAGCCATAATAGAAAAAAATTTAAATGCTCAAATTTTTTATTCATTCCATTATTGAATCAAGATACTAGGTCTTGACAAAAAAAAATAAAAGGTTATTTAGAATTGCTATGAAGGACATCATATTAGATGAGATATAATTTTATTTCTTATAAGTTTTTATGAATATTTAGTATTATTTCCTAAAATTGTACTGAATCCTAAAATAGTAATATTGACCCTAGATATTTGTAAAATCAAAGGATCGACATTATGTCAAATGCCACTGTCTAAAAGATGTTGAAATTTTGAAATGTACGAATGCCAACCCTTATATTTTTAGATGACAATTTTCAGTATTGTAAAAATGTTTAAATGCAAGTATCCAGTTACAAAAATTTGGTATCAGTTTAGATACACTTTTATAGAAATATCTTTATCGCTACCTAGATACTATTTTCCAGGAATTTTTATCTATTATTAGATACATCTGATATAATTTTATTGTTTTCTTATTAATAATATTATTCAGTTAATAATATGTTTGAGTTTATTTCATTACAAAAACTGCAACAATAATTTAAATTTTTGGATATAGGCTTGGGCAAAATTTTTGAAAATTATGATGGGCTTGGGTTTGAATATTTTATTAAATGTGGACTGGGTCTGCAAATTATTTTTACTGCTAACCTGAGCTGGAGGCTGATGAATAAATCAAGGCCAGTGAAGGTCTCTAAGAATTATTTTATTTTCCATCTGACTTTATTTGAACCTAAAGAAATAATCAAACCACAGATATGGCTTATTTAAATCATTTGCAAAAAATTTCTGATAATTGCTGGTATCAAGAAATTGCCGTACACAAGGAAATAAAGAAAGGCATTGTGAAGTGTGTATATGGAGATAATATTAATCCATTTTTATTTTAGCATAAATAACAAAAAATAATAATTCCTGTTACAGGGGCGGACTGGCCATAAGACCAGGCGGGCATTTTGCCCGCGAGGCCTCGATAAAATGTCGATTTTTGAGGCCGATCAGAGGGAAATAAAAAAAGAATCGATTAGAAAAAAAAAGATATTATTATGTTTACATTATTTTCTCTTATCATTTATTTATTTTTAATGATATCTATATTATTTGAATATCACTTTCCTTGAGAATTATGTCGTTTACTATATTTTAATGCATAATATATCAATAACGTTGTTTGACTTTGCTATAGGCGACTCTACATACCAAAGAGATTATTTTAATTCATACCAAATTAATTAACAATATAACACTTCCAGTATTGAGTCTCAGAAGTTGAGCTGATAGCCAAGTTATTGATTGATTTATATATATTGATAGCAGTTCAGCGCTAATGATCCTTGGTTGCATAATGGCACCATGATGATTAAAGACTATATCCGCTAGTACAACAATTACAGATCATCGGAAACGGACTATTTGAATAACCTGAGCAGAATAACTTTTAAAGCGATGAAAGATGCTCTAATAGTAGAGATATAGTCAGGAGATATCATTTGATATGTGCTGCAAACGTGTGAGATTTGTTGGGCTTCATAGACTAGAGGCTGCTGGAAGCTTTTATAATTGGTGCTAGAGTCATACATTAAATCTCTATATATGTGATTCATGTTATAATATTGAAGGCATAAATTTATTAGGATTATTAAACAGACTAGCAACTATCTTTGGTAAATACTATATAAGGATAGTTGCTTGGGTTATACAAAATAATTCATCTACCTACAATAAGCTGATAATGCTGCAAAAAATAAGTGAGACAAAGTAGTTGTTTCATAAAGTACTTAGATGGATATATGGTAAAGAGAGCTAGCTCCAAATAATGATAAGTGCACTTCAACCTACTATTTGATAATAAATAGCAGTTGATAGCAGGCTACTTTTTTTGACAATTAGCTGATAGCGGTAGTGCGCTACATTTTTTGAAAAATAGCGGTCTGCAAATAACCGCTACTTAATCAGTTTTAAAAATATAATGAAGGTAAGTATAAACATGGAAAATATATAATATCATAATTTAAGTTTTAATTTTTATACATTATATTATTTAATTTTATATAATTTATTATTTAATTACTGAAAATTGAAATATATTTATCAATTTGTAATCATGATACTATTTCATTTGTATTATAAACCTAAATCACGTGTTCATAATTAAAATGTCATCACCTATGGATATCCAAATCGTTGAAAGTGATCCAGACATTATCATATTAATGAGCTCCCATAGAGTATCTGAGTACAAAATGCTCTGTAATTGCTATAAGATACGAATTGCCGATGCGCTAGATTTGAGAATATTTTAAAATAGATGACGAAGGCCAAGATTGAACGTCCTCAAGAATCGATTGACCTTTATAGGGTACGAAGTATTTTGTCCTCATATTTGATCAATAGTTATAACCTCAAGAAACATCTGTCGGTAAACTGTCATTTTTGCATTCTAATAGTAGCTTATTTTGAATGTGCACTATTTACATGCCAATGGCATTTTGATGAAATAGGTAGTATAGGTATTTCTGAAAAGCAGCGTCTACATGAGCGGGAGGGGTAGGAACAGTTTGCATCCTATATTTTGAGGGGGTAGAAGATAGGCTGCTTTAATGGGGGTATGATAAATTTTTTGGGGGGTTATCTATTAAATTTTGAGATCAAATAGGACAAAATTTATTGCTGTAAAAATTAATACTTTTATTATAGAATTATTATAATACAATTCATCGACCAAATCTATATATTGCAAACAATCATACACATTGTTTTCCAAATAAAACTTTCTGCTATCCTTTGTAAATGTAATTTAAAAGGTTTAGATATTTCAGCACGCTCATAATGCCATAATAATTAATTCATTGTAAATAATGGAGGTTTTAATTGAATTTATTATGTAAAAAATAAATTCTTTATATTCACAAAATATCGATAGTTGGTAGTAGAGATAGCTTAATTTGAGTTGTCCTTTATTAATTCTCTGCAAAGTGTATCAATAAATTAATAAGGTGAAAATAATAGAGAGACACCGCCGCCGAAGGCGGCGGGAATTTTTAGGGGGTAACAGGTTTTTGAAGGGGCTTTGCATCCAGTGAAAATCCTGTCATGTAGACGCTGCATCTAAATAATTTTGGTATAGGCGACTCTAAATCCAAAAAGATTAATTTAATTCAAACCAAATTAATTAACAATATAAATTCCAATATTTCTCAGAAATTGGCTGATAAAGTTTTTGTTGATTTTATAATTGATACAGTTCAGCCAATCCACCATGATGATTAAAACTATATCCCCTAGTACAACAATTTTAGTCACCAAACAACACTAATGAATAAAATAGCAGATAACTTTAAAGTGATGAAAGATGCTCTAATAGTAGAGTTATCAGAGATATCATATATATGTACCACGGCAGATAGTTGGACACATAACAGAAGGTAAAAACTTATAAAATGCAACAACTTACCATAAATATTTATTTTTATTACATAAATTTTTTATAATCAAAACTAACTATATTTTAATACTTATAAATGTTGCTTTTTATACATTTACTATACAATAACATAAGCAAAAAATAAAACAAATTTGTTTCTAAATTTTTTTTATAAAAAGTAGCTTAAAGGTATCTAAACCTACTAATAAAAAATAGTAGCTAATAGCAGGCTACTTTTTTTGACAAATAGCGATAGCGGTAGTGCGCTACATTTTTTGAAAAATAGCGGTCTGCAAAAACCTCATCAGAAATGCAGTCTTTGATCGATAATTTATGTAAATTTAAGACTCTTAGTACAGCTATAATATTTTTGGAAGGTTTTGATGTCATTATATCTTCAAACTAAAAATTTAATTATTTTATCACATGGAAAATGATAGAAGATGCTAAGTCTTTTGTATCATCGATAACTATTTCATCGATTCAAAATAAAGCAATTAAAATGGCTTCTAATTTAAATGAGACATTTTCATATTTATAGCTCCCATAGAGTATCTGAGTACAAAATGCTCTGTAAAAAGATCGAATAGGATGAGCAAAGAGAATATATAGTGACGAAGGCCAAGATGAACGTCCTCAAGAATCGATTGACCTTTATAGGGTCGAAGTATTTTGTCCTATATTTGATCAAATTATAAATAGCTTGTCGGAACTGTATTTTGCAAATAGTAGCTTATTTTGAATGTGCAATATTTACATCCAAGGCATTTTGATGAAATAAATAGTAAAGGTATTTCTGAAAAGCAGCGTCTACATGAGCGGGAGGGGTAGGAACAGTTTGCATCCTATATTTTGAGGGGGGTAGAAGATAGGCTGCTTTAATGGGGTAGGATAAATTTTTTGGGGGGTTATCTATTAAATTTTGAGATGAAATAGGACAAAATTTATTGCTGTAAAAATTAATACTTTTATTATAGAATTAATATAATACAATTCATCGACCAAATCTATATATTGCAAACAATCATACACATTGTTTTCCAAATAAAACTTTCTGCTATCCTTTTAAAAATTATTTAAAAGGTTTAGATATTTCAGCACGCTCATAATGCCATAATAATTAATTCATTGTAAATAATGGAGGTTTTAATGAAATTAATATCTAAAAATAAATTCTGTATATTCACAAAATATCGATAGTTGGTAGTAGAGATAGATTAATTTAAGTTATCCTAGATAAATTCTCTGAAAAGAGTATCAATAAATTAAAAAGGTGAAAACAATAATAGACAGACACCGCCGACGAAGGCGGCGGAATTTTTTAAGGGGTAGGCAAAGGTTTTTGAAGGGGGTTTGCATCCAGTGAAAATCCTGTCATGTAGACGCTGCGAAAAGCCTTGGAAAAACTGGCACAATTGGCAATATATGTGTTAAATCACGTGACAAATTGTGTTCATTTGGCAGTGTATTCAAAAATTTAAATTAAATGAAACAGATGATGATATCGTATGTACAAATGAGGAGTCATATGAAGAAGATGGAA